TGAGATTTCTGAGTCATTCCTTGTCAATTTCATACTTAATTCTCTTCCTGTGGAATATGGAGCATTCCAAATTTTTTACAACACACAGAAGGAAAAAATGGTCTATCAATGAACTTTTGACCATGTGTGTTCAAGAGGAGGAGAGATTAAAGCATGGAAAAGTGAAAAGTGCTCATTTAGCAACACATAAAGGAAGGCAATGGAAAAAGGGCAAAGGTGATCAAAAATGGAATAAGCTTGGTAAAGTGCCGTTTAAAAATCATGGCAATAAGGGCGCATGCTTCTTCTGCAAGAAAAAGGATCACATAAAGATAGACTGCCCCAAGTATAAGAAATGGCTTGAGAAGAAAGGTAATCCCATATCTCTTGTGTGTTATGAATCTAATTTTGTTAATTCTCATCAATATGATTGGTGGATTGATTCAGGTTCTACAATTCACATTGCTAATACCAATCAAGGCTTTCTCAGCCTAAGGAAATCGACGGGAAGTGAACAAGGCATCTATTCGGGCAATGGGATGCGTTCGCACGTCGAAGCTATTGGAACTTTCCGACTTGTTTTAAAAAATGGCTTTGTTTTGGATCTTGAAAACGCATTTTACATTCTATCTTTTCAAAAAACTTAATTTCTGTTTCTAGACTAGTACCGTTTGGATTTGAATTTCAATTTGTTGGTGCAAATTTTAGTTTGTTTAAAGACTCTGTTTCTGTAAAATTTGGTACTTTAATTAATGGTTTGTACAAATTAAATCTGGATCCTGTTTGTGAACAAAATCTTTTAATCTTGCATGGTGATATTGGCATTAAGCGTAATATTGTTGATGAGTCCTCCTATATTCTTTGGCATAGGAGATTGAGACATACCTCCATTGAGAGAATAAAGAGGTTGGTTAATGATGAAGTCCTCCTGATTCTTGATTTTACCAACTTTGGTATTTGTGTGGACTGCATAAAGGGAAAGCAGACTAACAAGACCAGTAAACTTGCCAAAAGGAGTGCGGAAATTCTTGGAATCATACACACTGATATTTGTGGACCATTTACTCCACCTTGTCTGAATGGTCAGAGATATGTTATCTCATTTATTGATGACTTCACACGATACATGTATCTCTACCTCTTGTTTGATAAGGCCAAGACATTTGATGCCTTTAAAGATTATAAAGCAGAGGTAGAGAAACAAACAGAAAAGAAAATTAAAATTGTGAGGTCAGACAGGGGTGGAGAATATTACGGGAGGTACACAGAATTGGCACAATTACCAGGTCCATTTGCTAAGCTCCTTAAGGAAGAAGGCATTATTACACAATATTCAATGCCTCGCACACCACAACAAAATGGTGTTGCTGAAAGAAGGAACCGAACACTTATGGACATGGTAAGAAGCATGCTTAGTTATTTTAATGTGTCTATAAATTTATGGAGTGAAGTTTTGAAAACCGCTGTTTATATCTTAAACAGGGTTCCATCCAAGGTTGTTCCCAAAACACCGTTTGAGTTATGGAAAGGATGGAAGCCAAGTTTAAGACACTTACACGTTTGGGGTTGTCCAGTTGAAGTGAGGGTGTATAATCCACATTTAAAGAAATTGGACCCCAGAACAGTTAGTGATTTTTTCATAGGCTATGCGAAAAACTCCAAGGGTTACAGATTTTATTGTCCTTCAAATTCACTTAGAATTGTTGAAGCCAGAAATGCTTAGTTTATTGAAGAAGTTGACCCTAGTGGGAGTTACCCTCGAAAGATAAAGTGGAGGGAATCACGAGATCCAAACACAACACCTGTGAATATAGGTGAATTGGTTGTCTTTCAGGATAATCAACCTAATATCCTTGAAAATCAACAAATTCAAGAACTTCCACCATAAGAGGAACAAGTCAACATAGAGCCTGTAGCTCAAGCCCAATTGAGACTACAGAATTAAGAAGATCCTCACGAGCTAAAAAGTCAGCAATTTATGGTGATTATTTTGTATACTCAATGGAGTCTGATTTTGACATCGGACTTAAAGATGATCCTATTTTATTTTCCAATGTCATGAATAGGGATGATTCTAAATTATGGTATGATGCCATGAAGGAAGAGTTAGAATCTGTGGCTAAGAATCAAGTTTGAGAAATTGTCGAGTTGCCTAAAGGATTTAAAGCAGTTGGCTGTAAATGGGTCTATAAGACCAAGAAAGACTCAAATGGCAATGTCGAACGATATAAAGCCAGACTCGAAGCTAAATGTTTCACTCAAAGAGAAGGCATCGATTATCATAATACATTTTCTCCGATTTCTAAGAAAGATTCATTCCGAATTATCATGGCATTAGTAGCTCATTTTGATTTAGAGCTACATCAAATGGATATGAAAACATCATTTTTAAATGGGGATCTTGAGGAAGAAGTATACATGAACCAACCTGAAGGTTTTTGTTCTGATAAAGATAGTCACTTAGTTTGCAAGCTCAAGAAATCCATATATGGACTAAAACAAGCTTCCTAACAGTGGTATTTAAAGTTCCACAATGTTATTACTTCATATGGTTTTACGGAGAATGTTGTGGACAACTGTATATACCTTAAGGTTAGTGGGAGCAAGTACATTTTTCTAGTTCTATACGTGGATGACATTTTACTTGCATTTAATGATTTGGGATTGTTGCATGATACTAAACAATTTTTTTCTCAAAATTTTGAAATAAAGGATATGGGTGAAGCTTCTTATGTCATTAGCATAGAGATTCACAGAGATAGGTCCAAAAGGACATTAGGACTATCTCATAAAGCCTACATTGAAAGAGTTTTGAAGAAATTCAAGATGAGTGATTGCACTCCTAATGCAACGCCGCTTTTAAAGGGTGACAAATTCAATTTAAGTCAATGTCCGAAGAATGATTTGGAAAAAGGAATAAATGGTTAGCATTTCCTATACGTCTGTTGTAGGCAATTTAATGCATGCTCTGGTTTGTACACAGCCTGACATTGCATTTGCAGTTGGGATGCTTGGAAGATACCAAAATAATCCAGGAATGGAACATTGGAAGGCTGCAAAGAAAATCATGAGGTACTTAAAGGGAACCAATGACTACATGCTTACTTACAAGCATGTTAACTGTCTTGAGGTGGTTGGATATTCAAACTCGAATTTTGCGGGTTGTCAAGATTCCAGAAAATCCAGTTTAGGATATGTCTATCTGCTAGCAGGCGGTGCTGTTTCATGGAAGAGTGCCAAAGAGATGATAATTGCATCGTCAACAATGGAAGGAGAGTTTATAGCATACTTTGAAGCAATCTCACAGGCTATTTGGTTAAGGAATTTTATCACAAGGCTATTTGGTTAAGGAATTTTATCACAAGGCTTCGAATTGTGGATTCATTTTCTAGGCCATTAAAGGTTTACTGTGATAATTCGGCTGCGGTTTTCTTCTCTAACAACAACAAAAGTGGTAGCCGAAGCAAGCATATTGACATAAAGTATCTTGCTATTCGAGACCGTGTTAAGAAGCAAGAAGTCAGCATTGAGCATATTAGTATCGATATGATGATTGCAGATCCCATGACCAAAGGTCTTTCTGTAAAGGAGTTTTCAAAACCCGTTGAAGGCATGGGACTGATTGGTTAGCTCAATAATTTTTCTACTTGTTGTTTTATTTTGTTTTGTCATGACATTTTGATTATTAGGCCTCGTTTGGCAAGAGGCTATTTTAGCCAATTAGCCAAAAAGTTACTAAATTAGCCAAAAAGCCAACAACCCATACCAAAACAACCCATACCAAAAAGTCAAAGATTCTTTTTTCTCTCTACTTTTTGCACATCTTTTCGTAATTAGCCAAAAAGTCATCCCAAACATACACGTTTTTTTTACTTACCTTTTTAGTCAAATAGCCAAAAAGTTACTAAATTAGCCTGTTCCCAAACGAGGCCTTATTAGTGAAAAGTATCATTTTGTGCACCTAAAGTATTTGTGATGCTATGCAGTCCATTGGGACTACTTATCCATAGGGATCATTGGACCCAGAATAACTTATTAAAAACTATTTATAAAGAATGACACCACATAAAATTGAGAGTGTGATACAATGTAATACATGGAAGGAAATACTTAATTGATAGAGTATAACTGCCATGATTCGTGTATTATACATCTAAGGTTTGGGTATTTTTATGATCATCATCAGTTTGTTAGTTACCCGACAGTCAACAACATGTGTTATATGTGCCAAGTGGGAGAATGTAACAATATCCATAAAGTGGCTCATATGCTACATGTTTGTTTTATTTATTTATTTATATTATATATATTTAATTGGTTTAATGACTAATGGGTAACTCATGTCTGTTCATTATCCCATATGGTGGTTTCATAGGACTTTACAACTATCCTGATGGTGGGAAGTTATAAGGAGTTACACTTGGATATAGGCCTAAGCCTATCTATATATATGTCCGTGATAGCCATCAAACATAGACGTTGTTTTGTAAATAGAATAGGCTTGAAACTCTGTCCCTTTCACTTTTCTCATATGGTTCTGTAAAAGTGTTCTGTGAGTGGGCTTTTTACACATTCAAGATTTGATCATTCAAGAATAAAAATTCAAAGGTTTGAACGTCGTGGCATGATGTATTCTTCTTTCTGAATTATAATTATTTTAATTCTCACAGTGGAAACATTCCATCCAAGGTGGAAAAAAATTATTTATACATAAAATTAATATAAAGAACTTTATAAGAATGATATTACCATTCTGTAAGTGTGTTGTATTAAAACCAAAAATTCACACTTGAGCAGTCACATTATTTAGTATACAAATTTTATATAATTTATATATAGAAGGTCTACATTCGAGTGAGGGCCATTTTCGTCACAACCAAAAAAATATTAGACAAGTCACGTGATTCATAAGTCACCAACCACCATCTCTCTATCTATCTTTCTCTTCATCTCGCTCTACGCGTCGTCACGTCGCGTCGTATCTCCCTGTCTCACTCACCCTATTAATGGCTTCCCTCCCCCCTCCTACAAAGCCCCCCTCCATTTCCATTCATATCCAACTCTTTTACGTTGAGCTCCTCTATATCTCTCTCTCTCTCTCTCTCTCTCTCTCTCAATTCAGTTCGCAGTTCTTCTTCTTCGTCTTCATCCATGGATTCTTGCAGCAAATCAATCAGAGACTCCACTTCTCCCTTCGATTGCATCCTCTTCGGTACCTCTCTCTCTCTCTCTCTCTCTCTGTATTCAAATACATAATGGATATTACAGTGCATATATAACTCTTGTTAACTTCTAATCGTCCATCTGACTTGTTTTTCTCGCAGATTTGGATGACACTCTGTATCCTTCCAAGGCGGGGCTTGGCCAAGCCACCAAGCGAAACATCGAAGGTTTGAGTTCTGATTTCAAAAAAAAAAAAAAATCAGCTCTATGAGATATTTAATCAGGAATTCGAAATCTTTCTATTGTGATATGCAGATTTTCTCGTCGAAAAATGTGGATTCCCTGAGACACAAGCTTCGACTCTCCGCGTTGAGCTCTTCAAGACTTACGGAAGCACTCTCGCCGGTTTGCGAGTAAGCTAAATGACTAAATTGAAAGTCTTCATTTCGCTAATTTCTTCAAACTAGTACTAATTTGTGTTTGATTTTGCTTTTTCTTTGCAGGCATTGGGCTATGACATCGACGCTGACGACTATCACAGGTGAGAATTAAGCAGTTTCACAAACTTTGAACCGTTTGATCTTCATTCAATGAAGTTTTCAGATTTCCAAAATTTTGACCAATTCAACTAAAAATCTGTTTCTTAAACAGTTTCGTGCACGGAAGGTTGCCGTACGATTCGATCAAACCAGACGCTCCACTACGAAACCTTTTGCGCAGCATCAATCAAAGGAAAATCGTAAGTTCTATACATTATACATAGATTTTCATATATATATGTATATGTGTGTGTGTGTGTGTGTATTGATTATATGTTGCATTTACAGGTTTTTACCAATTCGGATAGAAATCATGCGATGAAGGCACTGGATCGACTTGGAATCAGAGACTGCTTCGAGCTGATCATATGCTTCGAGACTCTGAATCCAAACCTCTCGAAATCGACTCGCCTTGATGAGTTTCCCGTAGTTCTGAAACCCTCATTGGACGCCATTAAAACCGCCATCGACGTCGCAGAGGTCGATCCTTGTCGTACGGTACGACGCGAAGCACATGCTGTTTCTTTGTAATTGTTGCCATAACTGTGATGTTGTTGATGATCTTTGATCAACGGTTGTGATTGAATGACGTGTTTTGGTTTTGTTCCTTTTCAGCTGTTTCTTGATGATAGCGTCCGGAATGTTGCAGCTGGGAAAGCCTTGGGTCTCCGAACTGTTCTCGTAACTTTGCTTCCCAAACACGAGCAAGGATCTGTTGGTTGTTTTTTTTTTAAGTTTTTTTGAAGTGGTGTGTTGTATGGTTGAGATTTAATGACAAATTATAATAATTTTTAACATTAAATCTCATCTATATAATACACTATTTTAAAAAAATTTAGAAAAAAAAATTTCTAGAGGATCCTTAGTGCCCAAACACACCAACCAAAAAATAAATATAATTTGTTTCCAGTGCACCATATTTGTTTGCAAAATTATTAAATACTCTCCAACTATCTTATCCCGTTAATTAGATATTTTTTTATCAAATAAAAATTACATTCGTTTGAAAAATTAGTTATAACTAATTTAATTTATTAAAAGGTAAAATAGGTTAATATGTTTTATTTGTAAAATTTTATATTAAGCTACTGATTTAAAACTCATGTCTCTACGACTACTTTTGGCATTTAGTTAAAAAATATTATATAGATAATTTTTTTTACAAATTAATGAGACCGCTATGAAATGGTACAATTATCAGATTTTATTGTATTTGACCCCACTCTATTTGAATAGAAAAGGTTTGGGAGATTATAGACAGGGGAGGTCAGGAATAAAGATAGATAAGTTGAAACTATGGTCCAAGTTTGACAAGTTGAGAAAAAGTCAAAACGTTAAAAAGTTATTTAAAAAGTTAAAAAGTTATTACTATTCATCAAAAGTCAAAAAAGACGGCTGCATAACTCTCAATCCTAATTTTTTTCCTACAAACTAATTTATACAATTTTTTAATACATATTCTTTCATAAAAAGTCAAAAAGTTAACCCAAACATCTATATTTTTTTTCTCAACTTTTTAGTTCAAAAAGATAAAAAGTACACTTATTTAGGACACTCCAAATAACCCCTATATTGAAGTAAAATATAAGTTACAGTAAGATGATTTATGTGCCAAATTTGTTATCGGCCCAATCGCTTTAATTTGTGTTAATCGAACGATCGGATCGGCTTCACTCTCGTTTGTAACAGTCGTCATCCTATCATTTGAACAATCAGCATAAACAAATTCGAACAATTGGGGTGATACCAAATTCGGTAGATATTGCATTGTTGAAAGTCATATCTCTAAAGAAATTAAAGTTAAAATTGAGAATTCCTGTGCAAAATTTGAAAAAATTCACCTTATTTCAAATTTGAAATAAACTAATTTTAATAATATGAAAAGTAATAAACCATTTCAAAAATTAAAAAATTAGTCTACAAACTATACATGTACACATGTGAGTTGTCAATAGATGATATGCACGAATCCCATCTACTCAAACTCTTCTCTTTTTTTTTTCTTTTTTTTTTTTTGAACTCAAGACATTATTTTATTTTTATTTTTATACTTAAGTCTAGTTTGAAAACAAGTTATTTTAATAATTTTTTACAAAAAAATATATAAAAAAATAAAAAAAATGATGTGATAACTTATAATATTTTTTTAATTAAAATACTTACTCCCCAATGAGTCCTTAAAGAACTTTTGGTGATACACTTATGTTTTGACAATTTCAATTCAAATATATATATATATATATATATTATACGTAATGCGCTTTTAGGCCAAGTTTGGCATCTTCAAAAAAATATAAAAAGTCAAAAAGTCATTATCCTATTTAAATCACATCATCTTATTTAAGTCACATCACTTCTCTATCACATCATTTCAAACCCAACTCATACCCAATCCATATTTCTTAAAAAGTAAATATGTACACCCAACCCATATTTCTTAAAAAGTAAAAATGTGTACATATTTAGGACACCCCAAACAACCCCTTAACCATAAAATTCTATTTATACAAATTTCATCACAAGTCATGATAATACTACACTCTTGATCATATTTGTGCTCATATGTTTTGATTTGGTTGTCGTATAGGTTGGAAAATCAGGGAAGATCAAAGAAGCCGATTATGCATTAGAGACTGTAAACAACTTGGCTCAAGCAATTCCAGAAATATGGTTTGGCACAGGAGACGGCAACGATCGAAGGCTCAATCGAACCAAGGGCCAGTTGGATGCCATTCTTGCTACAGCACCTCTTCGGGTTTAAGCAAATTCCAAACGGCTACGCACCTAAAAAAAATATTTAAAAAAGTGTTAGAATTTGAATATATTATGAATTGAATGAAATCAGATTCATACTATTCAAATTTTAAACATTTTTTTTAAATATTTTTTAATCAATGCGTAGTGTTATTATAAAGGTGATATGCATGGTTGTAATAATATATGTGCAGAATAATAAGGTTTTTAGATGTACTTATTTACGAATAAAGAAAACTTAAGAGTTTCGTGTCAATTCTTCTTACATTATAATAATGTTCTCTTTAGCTTAATGTAATGTTAAAAAAGGCGTGTCAATTCTTCTTGCATTATAATAATGTTCTCAATAGCTTAATGTAGTAATGTTAAAAAAAAGGCTTGTCCACGTAGGTTTCGATTCTTGTTTGTTGTGTCCTCCATCTGGGTATCAGATAAAGATACGCGATCATTTTTTTCTAAGGGCTATGGAGTAAATAATGACTTGTGTCCATATCTTAATGTTGTGAAGTTGATGGATGGTTATATCTCTCTCATACCTTTGGACTCTTGTTATGATATAGGGCTAGTTTGGCATGTACTAAATAAGTTAAAAAGTCAAAAAGTCACTATCTTATTTAAGTCACATCATCTTATTTAAATCACATCACCTCTCTAACACATCACATCAAACCCAACCCAAACCCAACCCAAACCCACCAATAAGTCAAAAAGTACACTTTTTTAGGACATCCCAAACCAAATCTTAATTAATTGACTCATATTTTAAAGGTGAAAATAACGAATTAGTGATGCTTTTATAGATTTATGATAAATTTTACAAATTTAATAATTATAATCATAATTTTTTTTTCATGAATATGTAATTATTTTAAAAGGTAAGACTTTGTAATTTTTCTATTTTAAAAACAAAACATCATTATTATCACATGTTTTGTGCTAACGACTTTGGTTCAATCATATCATGTGAAATATTTCATCATTTATTTAGTAAAAAATTTAATATCTCTAATATTATCCTATTCTAATTAGAGGTTCCATTTTGTTTTATTTGTTTGCTTGTGGCAGCCAAGGATAGGCTGAGCTTCAATAAAGTTGAGGAGACTCAAATTAAATTTAGGGTAAATTATGCAAATGGTTTTTATAGTTTACACAGTGTGTCAATTTGGTCTTTATTATTTTAATTTACTCGATTTTGTCCCTTAATTTAACATATTATGTCATTTTAGTCCAATAAATAACAGTTAATTTTGGTGGACGAAAAGTCTACATAATATGTCAATTTGGTCCCTATAGTCTACACAATGTGTCAATTTGGTTCATGTTATTTTAATTTACTCAATTTTTATAAGGATCAAATTAACACATTTTGTAAATTATATGAATCAAATTGACACGTAGTTTGACTTTCTATTTACCAAACTTAACAACTGTTATTTATTTGACAAAAATGACACAATCCGTTAAATTAAAGGGTAGAATCGAACAAATTGAAATAACAGAGATCAAATTAACACATCGCGTAAACTATATAGATTATTTGTATAATTTACCTTTAAATTTAATATAATCATTAATTTACTTAAAGTTGATTATGTTTGGGATAGAGACTAAAACCCTTAATAATTAGAGATGGCAACAGATGGGTAGGGGTGGATGTCTACCACCCCACCATGAGCGGACCTAAGTGTCATTTGCTGACATTTACATGGCAAATTTTTTTTAAAATTATTATGAAAGTGACGTTACGGTTAATTTCAAATGAAACAGACGTAATTTTTATAACATATATGTGACCGGATATATTTGGAGACTTTTATTATAAATTCATAACACAAATTGCATAATTTTTATTTATTTTTTTGTGTCATAATAATTATAGAATTCAACGTATGCATGCATCATAATTTAGTTTCTTGAAAAAAAGAAAAGAACAAAGAAGGAAATACAAAGTACAACCACAAATAAACGCTAAAAATAATCACATATAATCACAAATACATATTCATGTCCGCAACCCACTTCCAACATTCACAAGTCATACACTTGTTTTTCGGCGAATTTGACCTCAATTGGGTTAGCATTCTTTCCGATCGACCTCATATTCAGGCTAACACCTTGTCGGCCAGGGTTCACCTTCTCTGGGTACACTCCATCCTTAGGGTGCAAATATTGCACCTCTCCATTAGGGAACACCCTATAAAATTGGTACTTAATCTTGTACTTAGACCTAAGCCTAGTCCCAAGCGCCAAACACTGCTCTTTCCTAGCTAATTTGAGCAAGTTTGGGCCTTGTCTCATTATGGCTGCACCACCAGTGGGCATATCAAAAATTTGCACCTTAGGGGACTCCCAAGTGATCGTATAGAACTCCTCCACTTGGGCCTTTCGAAGTAGACCTCCAGTGCTACCACCAAAAATCGGTGATGGGGTGCTCGGGTCCAATTGGGGTGGGGTGGGGTGAAGCCCATTGGAGCCTCCTTCGCTGGTGCCTCGACATTTCCTTCTACTGCCATGGCCCTAATGGGTCGCAGTGTTACAGTGAATTTGCCAGGCTTGACACTAGGAAAAGACAAAGCTAGTGATTACTTCCAGGGCACGAGGACACAATCGCTGGATTTTGGGGCGGTGAGGGTTGGGGTAAAGAGGGAAGCTTGAGTTGCCATGGCCATGAGAGAGTGGAGGTTGTTTGGGATAGTTGGCTTTTTGGCTTTCGAAGGTTATTATTGTAATTGTGAGCGTACCAGCAAGGATCAATCAATCCTTACAGAAAATTAATTGCCAACCAATTATCAGACGATTGTGTTTTAGTTCTTTCAGCCTCAATGAAGAGGACTTTTACTGGTAGCTTGATTTAGGAGAATTAAGTAAACAACAATCAAATGAAGAAAAATTGAAGCATTTCATTAAAATGAAAGACTTACAATGATCCAACTCAACCTCATAGAGGTTTACAGCAATAATCTACTTGAATCTACTCCTATGAACGAAGTGCAGTACAGAAATTTTAAAGTACAGAAATACAAAGAACAGGAAATGTAAAACTGAAAAGGAAATAAAATAGATAAAAACTGGTTTCTTAGATCTGAGTCTGGGGATTTTTTCTGGGGCCTTCTCTGCTATTTATGCTTCTCAAGGATGACCATCGAACTGCACTTCTAACCGTAGAATCGTTCCTCCATGATCGCTGATCATGTTGTCTTATAGTTAGCTCCACTATGCCATCATTTGCAGTTACGCTTCCCTCTTAATTTTGAATTTGAATGTGAGTAACCGTTGAAACCATATCACTTTTCATGTCTTTGTTGATCCAGTGCTACGCAGATCTTGTAAGAACTAATACTAACTGCCACGTGTACGATTACAATCGAAAACTTGAATAGTCTTCCCGTATTGCCCTTATTTTGCCACGCGTTGCATTGTAATTGGCTTATACAAAATATGTAGCCAACATTACCCCCCGCACTAATATACCCAGTACTTGGTGATATTAGTGGATCAAGGTCTTTTATCCACGTTTTAGAACGTGCATGGGCTTTGCATTTTTAGAAACACAACCGTCATTCATTGATGAACATTTGCATTAACTCCTTTTTGATCCCTTAAACAAGCTCACTATCTCAGTATTTGAAAAGTCCAATTCAATGGATAAACAGACCTTTTCTTATCTCGATCAAGCATATGAAGAGTTGTTTGATAATACCGTTCGTCCTCGAAAGAATCTTCATGCATTGATTAGCCACCTTTACCCACCTTTCTATATTCAAGTCATGGAAGCATTTGCAAATTATCAACCCTTGGACTACGAACACACTGTCCACAATCCTTTGATTCAGAAATTTGCAAATATGGACATGGGAAGTTCTTCTTCTAAGCCACAATCTTCTACATGGGATGAGACTGTGGCTTCTTCTTCCTCTGGGGCTTCTGGCTGGAGAAGCTGGTCGGAACCTAAGGCATGTGAGTTAAGGGAGTGAGTTAATCATTACTTTGTCGAGTTCACTGATCCTCTAGAATTCCCTTCTGATGCTTGAAGTTCGGTGGTTTATCCTTACGTGCCCATCGACTGCCGACGTAATTTAGAGGACAATCTGCTTGTAACATGGTACACATCCTCCATGCCTACAAAGATAGTACAAGCTACCCGACGCCCAGAAGAGACACAAGGGTATAACCCATCGTTCTTAGCCCAGAAGGCGAGACTTTGCTCTTCTGACTGGCTTGATTGTGTTAATGCTCCTCAGTTTCCTTCTTCTTTCGAAATGGAAGCCTCTATACCTTCTCCTCCACAAAATCCCTGTTGGACAGAGAGACTGAGGGTTACCCTTTCTACGGACAAGGTTTTTCCTCCTTATAAGCCCTCACCTTCTCCTACTCTAACTCAGCGAAAGCAAGCCCAACTTCTACTTGCAGCCTTTTCTCACTTGCCTTTCAATGTTCTTGAAGACGATATCCCTCTCAAGAACCTTCGATGGGCTTATGATATTATGACTCGGGGTCACGTCCTCAACCCCATCGCCCAAGCAGAACTCTAAATGTTTTTGGACCAACTCCCGTTGCTTCTCCATTGGCACCGGACTTCTGTGGCCACCACCCAATCTTTGAACCAACTTTCATCCCTTCGAATTCATACCCAGTACGAAGCAGAGAACCTCATCGAAGAATACGATGATTTCAAGAATAAAGACTCTGCGTACTGGGATGACTTGGATATGGACGAACTGGAACAAGGGTTAAAAGAAACAGCGTTCGAAATAAAGGCTAAAGAACTCTTTTATCAAGTAAGAGCACATCAACTTCAACAGCCAAACCTGGAGAAAATAAAGGATAGAATAAAAAAGGAACAAAAATTTATTGACCATAGCTGGACTAAATTCTATGATCTTGTTATTTATTTTATTTCTTACTTTTATGAACTCGAATTTGTACCCAATGAGGGCCTTTTGATGTAATTACTTTTGTTTCAATATAGCTGAGACTTTTCTCTTTGTTTGGCATGGTTTGACTTTATCTCTGTTCGTCTTTATAAGCAAATTTAGGGCTTCGAACTCTACAATCTTATCCTTCAAATCTAGATTCAATCATCTCAAATGAAACACTGAAAAACCAACCTGAATTTTTCCAATTCATGAAATACAGTTGACAATTTTTTGCTGATTTCCATTTAGAATCAGTGCTTCGAATTTAACAACATTGCCCCTTAAAGCTTGTTTTAATCCTATCCAACATATAGTCATGGTTAGTACGGTCAATGAATTTTAAATTGACCATTTTTGCTTCGAACAACAGTCCATACTTTCAAAAATATGGAAACCCCTCTCAAGGGCTGCACAGT